CATAGCATTTACTTTGACATGAAGACCGTGAAGTGTGTGGGTTAAACACAAATAAGGAGAAACATAAATAACTCGGTTGATTAGCCTGTTTTCCTAAAACGACATATACATTAGAACTTTTTACCGGGTTAACCTACTTTATGAGGATTTATTTGACATATATGCAAAGGAATTGACAATTGAAACCCACTGGGTTAACGAAATCCAGTTAAATGTAAACGTACTATAAATAGGACCAAAATCGATATATTTTGACAGCATGAAAAAATTTATAAAATTTTTCAGAAAAATTAAAATAGAGGAATGAAAAGTAAACAATTTTCTGGTTTTTATACATGCAGAAGGATGTACATTTAATGTAATGTGCACATATATGAGCCCATGATTTTGAAAGTGGTAAAGTAAAAACATTTAAAAATCCACTTTATCAGCTTTTACTTGTCAAATCTTAATAAAATAATATAATCTGAAGAAAGTAGCAGCATGCCATGCAAATTAAGTCATTAAAATGCGTTTATGTTTTAGTTGTTAACTGAAATACAGATATTGTTGGTTTTGATAGTGGTATAAGTCAGTGTGTCCACAAAGTAATTTTGTCATGCCTTCAGATAGTGGTTCAGGTAGGATGAAGTAAAACTTTTAATGTAAAAACATATTATTTAAAGTTAATTGTAGACATTTTACGGCGAATAAATGGAAGCAATGCTCCCAAGAAATGGAAACGAATAAGAATGATATCGTCTTTTGGTGAATCAAATGCAGAACCCATACAAATGGAAGAGCGCAAAGTGAAATCAAGAAAGAGGACACGCAATCCACAGAATTATGCACAAAATATAAGAAAAATGAAGAGAAATTGTGAAGAGGAATATGAAACAAAAAACTCTAAGCACGTGAGTGCTAAACTTTTCGAAAATAAAGATTGTCTGTTCCAAAAAGTGTTTAAATGGAATCGAATACGAAGACAGGAATGCTAATTTTAATTATTTTTTGAAATTAGCAAATTTCGAAAAACAGAATCTGTTTCTGTGTGGTTTGATTACAAAACAATTAATAAAACAAAAATGCCCCAGAAATTATAAAGGATATATGAGAAAATGGAGTCTTAAGTTTCAGTTGGAAAGTTTCTGTTTGCAAAACATTTCAAACTATCTAACAAAAGATTAAGCCGTGCTTTAAATTCTGAAACACCTGGAATGGATGGTCGTGGCAAAATGGCCAGTTCATCTAGAAAAACAGAAAAACTTAAAGTAGTACGAGATCATATTCAGAGTTTTCCAGCATGTGAGAGCCATTACACGAGATTACGCCACATTCAGGTCGAAAGTATCTAAGTGCTGACTTATATATTCGAAAAATGTACGGAAAAAAAATGTGATGAAAAAAATACATCATATGTAAAGAAGTGGACTTATAGAAAAATATTTAATAGTGTGATTCGATAAAACTAAAAATTGAATCATCCAGTAATGAGGACGAAAAGTTGCATCTTATAGAAATTCATGATTCACATGCTAGAAAAGGTTTAAAGATGACATACAAAAAACAAAAGATAGCCCGAAAGAATATTACGGATTTACATTTGACCTGCAAAAAGCGCTTCCTTATCCAAAACTTTCTGTTTCGGTAGCTTACTACAAGCGCAACATGTATGTATACAATGTAGGGTTTCATATAAATGCTAAAATGTATGTATGGGATGAAATAATCGCCTCAAAAGCATATAAAAGCTTACAGTGATGCCTGCTCGGGACAAAATCGAAACATTAACATAGCTTTAATATGGTTAAAAATTGTACAGTCATGTGATAATAATGTTGAAACAATTTATCATAAATTTATGGTATCCGGCCATTCTTTCTTACCAAATGATCGGGATTTTGGTTTGATAGAAACTAAGAATAAAAAATCTACTTACTTATACGTCCCTGAGCATTACTATAATTTAATAGAATCATGTAAAATGGGAAACCCATTTTCGATAGTACAAATGGATCAAGAAGATTTTATTTTTACAAAACAACTAAAAGTATCAACGAATAATAGAAAGAAAAACATCAATGAAGAAGCTGTGCCTTGGTTAAAAATACAATGGATCAGATTTCTAAAAAAATGCCCCATATAAGATGTTTTATAAAGCTTCCTTAAATGACAACTCCGAATTCAAAGTATTAGAACTCTCATCTAAAAAAGGAAGACCTAGAATATACGGAAATTATACACAACCATTAGACCATAACAAAAGAAAAACGTAAAGATATGATGGATGTACTACCCTATATTCCACCAATTTTTCACAAACACTTTATTTCTCTAAATACTAATGAATAATTTACTTTGTCACAATGAAACGAGTTTAATAAAACGTTAATTACTAATAAAATTGTTTCATTTTTGAGATAAGTCATTTATAAAGTCATGTAGTTAATTTGAAAGTGGTACAAGTCATTTAAACCTTTCAAAACCACATTTTTTTAATTTTTTTTTTTTTTTTTTTGATATGTAACGTCTATAATCAGGTCTTGACATGTGAAATCCACATAAAATATATTTACTAGCTCCATATTAAATATAAGCTCTAAAAGATTTTGTTGCCTGTGGGCAACATTGGGCCACAAGGGTTTAATGATTCGAAAATACTAAAATTTTTTAATATATATGTAATCATGGTACAATTATACAAGTTAGCATTAATCAGAAAGGAGAAAATACACCTCTACCTTATGGGCAAAAATGTCAGAATAAATGAAAACAAATGCAACAAGACGTTCTGTTCATTTGACATATTTTATAACATTTTGCCAAAACCGCGAAAAATGAATGGAATGTCAGGATTTCTTTTCAAAATCGAGTTGGGGATATGATTTAGATGTTGATTCATTCACAAATCATACAGTACGTTTACACTTAACCGGATTTCGTTAATCCAGTGGGTTTAAATTGTCATTTCCTTTGCATATATGTCATTCATTTTCTAATGTACAAGAAACATTTCTACTTACAAATCTAAAATTCATTTTCAAAGAAATCGATTTTCGAATATATTTTGTGTGTTCCCGTACTGCAAGAATCTACTAGATTTTACTATTTTCTTCGATATCATAAAGGAAAAAAGTGTTATCATAGTAAAAAATAGTAGATTCTTGTATTACGGAAACATACCAATTTTGTTATATTTTTCAAAGCATTATACCATAGACAGACGACAGCCTTAATTTGCATTAAAAAATTCTTAATTTGAATTAAAATTTACCCCTGACAGACGAGAGTTTCTGCATTTATGAACCAGTTTTTAGTTTCAAAACTATTTTTTGTCTGTGTGTAGGATGAAAATTTTCGCAATTGTTTCCAATAGTTTTTGGAATTACATCTTTATGAAATAGATACATGACAGAACGGAAGAATAACACCTAAAATGGTAGTAAAACAGCTCCCGGTTTGAAAAAAATTTGAAATTTGCCTTTATTTCTAATATTTTTTTCACAAACGTAAACAAATTTGACAACAATCAATTTATTTTCTACAGCATTGTCATAATGGAATTGTTTAATTCAGTTTGATTTTGTGCATTTCGTCACATAAAAATGAGGATAATGTACAAGTTAATTTGAATTAAGACTGTTAATGCAAATTAAGGCTGTTGTCTGTCTAGGCTATTACACACACATTTTGTATATGACTTTGGCATAACAAGCCACAGTATGAAAAAGTTGTAATTTATAGGTTGCTATGTCCTACCTTGAATAAATGTACCATACATGTATTCATATACGAAATTCTGAGAGCAAACAACGTTTTTCAAGTGCCGGTCAGATCACGGCATTAAGCAGAATGGTCGTGTTGCGCGTTTTTTTTTTATTTTATTTTGTTATTGCGTCAACGCACGCAAAACGTTGAAATATACCTAAAGGGCTAAGCAGAATGCTCGCGTTGAGCCATCCGTTGCCTTATGTGTTATCGAAAATACAACAACCACAAGGAAACGATAACACAAACGCTCGAAGTTGTTGTGCGCTGCGCTTCGGAGTTAAATATATTTTAACTTTTTGCGTGCGTTAACGCGATAACAAAAAACGCTCAACGCGAACATTCTGTTTAGTCCTTAACTCCGAAGCCCAAACGCACGCACATCATTTTCAAGCGTTGATGTTATCGTTCGCGGGTGGTTGTAGTATTATCGGTAAGAAATAACACGATGGATGGCTCAACGGATCTATTCTGCTTATGAGTCTAAACGCAAACAGAGCGTCTAGAGTCAGCGACGGTCGTTTACCGTATATTTATTATTGGCAACGGGAAATCGCGACGGCTGACGTTCGCGTCAAGCGGCTTGACTCTAGAATAGATTTTATTCATTTTTGCTCAGCGTCATACTCAAATTTTCTCTCTTGCTCTCCATTGAGTTGCCATATTTTTTGAAAAAATCAGCAGTGCTACCAACATTTCAGTGGAAATTTATATCAAAACATATGGCAGTGCTGTTAAAAAAAGAAATATTTTCAAAGATGTGGACGTTTTTTTTTAACGAATTAATAATAAAATGGAAGAAAATTTAAAAATAAAATAAAAAAAAAAATTAACACAAGTTCATTGACATTATTGTTTATTAAATAAGAAATTGAATTTGGTTTGCGCAACGTAAAATTTTCTGTCAGAAAATCAAAACAAATAATTGACATTTTGTGCCGCTAACGCCAACTCTTCCGTTTGGTTTTCACGCCGGCGAAAAAGTATGACGCCGACTCGTGACTCTCTGGTTGCGTTTAGACTCTATGCCTTTAGGCGAGCAACGCCGTTCAAATGACCGTCAGAACATGGCATAAGTGAACAAGAGGGACGAACATTTCGATTATAGTTCCGATTGTTCATTTTAATGAATATCTGCATTGAAACAGCTTGTTCTGCAACGACACAACTCTAAACTCTATTACAGTGTGCTTTGATGAGTGGCAAAAGTTGAATTGATTCGGTTCTATTGCCTTTGTGACTTTTGTGTTATAATGGGAGACGATGGACGCTTTAGTTTGCCGGCAGCGGAATCCACAAAGCTTAACAATTCAGGAAACAGGTTACTGTCTAAACCACACTTCCATAATTCAATTATAAATATTTGTTTGTAGTTTCCGGTGGGGAGCTTCACCTTACTCCAGTAACAGACAGCGCAGTAATTCCAGCATCAACTTAATTAATTTGGACAGCACTGTCGTTAGCAAAATCGAGCCGAGAGTTTTTGCAGATGTCCAAAGTAAAGGATTGGCTTCGAGAATAGTGAAGTATCATGAGAATGAAAGCAGATTAAACCGCAGTATGTCGACTAACAGCCTGTACACAAAACCGGGAAAGTTTCCCATTGTAACTCTACAGAGAACTGAATTGCCGTTTCGTGCTACCAAACAAAATGTATCTATGACTAGGATTGTACCTCCAGGTATTCTACGTAAATCTTCTCGGTTTCATGATTTAATTTGACTTAATATTTTAGAGAAGTCAGTCTTCTGCGGCAACACACTGTCAAGCCTTTTTCGCTCAAATTCAGTAGTGGGATTACGGAAGAGTAATGAAGACATATCACGGGAAAACAGACCAATTATCCATCCTCCTCCAACGGAGAGTGATATGGCGCCAACACGCAGTGTTTTAGACGTCCTTAAAGAGATTTCTCGTAAACGGATCAACAGTGACGTAAGTCATAAAAGTCGTCATATTTAACCCTGTATCCGGCAAGTCCGCCTTTAGACAGTTTGCAGTAAAAAGAATCTGATAACGGTAAATATCAATTAAGAGGTACTGTAAACTCTTGCTAGGGAAAAAGCCATTGAAAATAGGGGAATTGATAAAAAATATTAGTGTCAGAATAATTTTTACAGGATTACCGGTTACAGGGTTAAGACAGCGCATTTCTGACTAGACATACAGATTGGAATGCAGAGAAAATCATTCATGCAGTATTATACATATATATATATATGTCCGATCTGTATAATTTACAACTATTGTTCTTTATTATACGTCTTCCATTTTAGGATGTGAATAGCATGGAATCGACTAAAAGGAATCGCACTGGGAACGATTTATTAGACGCTGGAGATGAAGTAATAAGTATCACTAAACAAGCATCAAGTTTCAAACGACAACGAGACACAAACTTACAGAACCAGACAGATGTTAATACATCTTTAAAAAATCAGGACTCTAGCAAATCACCGGAACAAATGAAGAAGCGCATATGTAGCTACAATAATGACATTAGTAGTTCGTTAAGCTCCAGTACAAAACGTAAAACTAATGAGAGCAAGAGACCCTTCCTTAGTCAGACAATGCCGACATATTTAGAACCATACGAAACACCAAAACTTAAAATACAAAAACGACACGAAAACACCTTAGTCAACCAAGCAAAACCAGATAATGATATACACAATCAACATGAAATCCAGAATGTTAAAAGTCGAAAAGATTATAACACTGCGAGCGAACCATACGGAACTGTGCCAAAACGCAGCCAATCGGAAGGAACTTCGGCCACGTCCGAATATAAGGTAGCACAAAAGCCTCGTCTAACTCTATTCAATAAAAACTACGATATTGACACTGAGAGGCCTAACAACGATTTGGAAAACAATGACAACTTAGATGAAAGTGGTGAATGTTCCGGCATACATTTTGTTAAGCCCAAAAAATTAACATCAGGCCTAAAAAATCCGATAATAGAACGAACACAAAAGTCAAAGCTAGCACTGATGTTGTCTGGTCTTCGAGGGGAACTATACCACGTAAATGATGAGGTAGATACATCAAAGGATGCTGAACATGTCGACAGGAGTGACGCAACAACAGATTTACAAAAAAATAACCCCTCTGTAAAAATTGACACACAAAAAGCTTCCGAAGTGTCAGCAAATAATAATCCAAATGTAGCAACTCAGAATATGTCATCTTTGGTTGGGCTAAAATTGCCGCAACAAAAAACAAATCCACCAACTGCTTTAGTCCAGAGCGATAAACCTGGTATGGAATTTAACGTTCCAACAGTAGGCGCATTTCCTGGTATGGATAAGATTCACAACCTAAGCACTACCACCACCACCAGTTTCACCTCTAACACAACAACTGCGGAAGTAGCGAAATGCAAACCAGATTCATCTAAACAAACTGATTTTAAAAGCGGCATAATCTCCCCTAATGCAAAGACTGCGATTACCACGCCTATACTTGCATCATCCGAAGCTATAAAGTTTTCAGAAAACGCAGGCATACAGAAATCTGAATCAACCAGTACTTCGTCGGAGCCATTAAAATTTGGCACTAATTCAAGTTCAACTTCATCAGTTCCATTCTCCTTCGGATTAGCAGCAGATTCCAAGGCAATGTCAAATGAAAAATTGTCCGCCAGCCCAGCATTATCATCGACAACCATGGCCCAATCATTATCAATGAAAAATTCAGTTAGTTTAAATACAACAGCAAACACAAATATAAATCTATCTTCCACATCTGGCAACCAAAATGCTGCAGCTCCACCTTCAAATGCAACATCGAATGCTTTCGCGTCAACAAACGCTGCAGTTAAAACAACATTGCTATTGGGAACAAATACAACAGTCAATAGTAGTCAAAATCCACTAGCTGTTGGGAATAAAACTGCTGAAAAAACTGACTCATCCAAACCAGCAGGAGGATTTTCCTTTGGAATTGAAACGTCAAAACCTACTCCCAATGCGACGTTTACCTTTGGCAGTTCATCCGGTGTAACAGGCATTAATGTGAATCCCACAACAGCTACTGTGACAACAAGCAACCATTTTACGTTTTCTTCTGGTAGTAGTACATCTGAACAGAAAATGCCACAAACAGTGTTTGGGGGCTCACCGTCGTCCAATTCTTCCGGAGGGTTTGCATTTGGTTCTAGTGCAAAAGTCGTTAACTCACCAAATGTTTCATCAACATTTGCCTTCGGATCAAAAAAAGCATCAGAACCTGCGAATCAGAAATCACCCGAGCACGTAAACGTAGGAGGTTTTTCCTTTTCATCGTCAGCTAACAGTTCGACAGCAGTAAACAATATTGCTGCCAATAAGCAGTTCAGTTTCGGTGCCACTCCGAATTCAAAAACCAATCCAATGTTAGGAACCACTAATAGCAGCCAAAATTCTACAAACATATTCGGAAATGGTGCCAGTTCCGCATTTAGCTTTGCTTCTTCTCAAGCTAGCAACCCACAAACATCGGCTAACAGTGCATCAAATTCAGCATTTAATTTCGGAACATCAACGTCGAATAATATGGCAACGAGCGCAACAAACGCTTTTAGTTTTGGGGCTGCATCTTCGACAAACGCGCAAATAAGCAGCGTTCCGACCGCCAGTAAGGATCCAGCTTCTCCGTTTACATTTGGAGCATCAACAGGTGATACACAGTCCACGGGAATAAACACAGCTAGTGCCACAAAATCGACATTTAACTTTGGTGGTTCAACGTCGTTGTCGGCATCCAACAACTCACAACCAACAGTAACATCAGGCGTAGCAACAAACAGTGGCTCGAGCACCACATTTAATTTCAATGCTTCATCCACCAATGTTCAATCAACGGGACTATCGGGCATATCTGTGAATAGTTTCTCTAAGCCGACATTCAATTTCAACGCTCCCTCTTCTTCCAATGTTCAGACAACAGGATCACAAAGTTCGTCTACAAATATAGCAGGGAATAGTGGATCTACCGCAGCTTTTAACTTTAACGCTCCGTCGATGACTAGTGTCCAATCAACAGGATCGCCAAGTAATATATTTGCCATACCGCAGAGTTCATCCACTGGGTCAACGGATCGACCGATTCGACGTGCCACTAGACGTCTTCAAAAATGACCAGAAACTATATTTCAACATTTGAGAAACCCCCATACAATACTTTTTACTTTACACATCGGCCAAAAGATCCACCTTGGGCGATTTGAGAATGCTATCTATGCGACTCTTTAACACTGATATATTTTGTGAACATTGTAAGCTTCATGAGAATAACAATACTAATTCGACTCTGAATAAAAAAAAACTGTATTTTAATTTTTCACTCAGGTGAAGTTGACTTTGCCCGTCAATATACCCAGCATAAAAATACGTACATTTTGTTCTGTCAACTACAAGTTTATTCTACATCAATATATGTATGTTTGATATTTTCTACTTTCAACGCTTAACCAGTAAGCCTACTACCTACAGTTGAACTTACCGCACAGCGTAGCTATGGAGGTTAGCTGACATCTTCAAGCACTGAATTAGTCCAGTATATCGGCACATTCCACAAAAAATGTATAAGGTTTTGCAATTACCATTTGTTGTTTGTAAATTAATATTTCAAATAATATGATTATCAAAAGTTCATTTCGAAAGTAGACACGTTGTGTGCCCGCTCGTCCTCTCCATCAGCATTGTGCTCAAAGTGACCTTTAGAATTTTTGTGCTGTTTTAGGGACGTTGCACAAATAAAACCTTCCCCACAAATGCCGCACAAATAGGGTCTTTCTCCAGTGTGGCGCCTATGATGCAACGTTAGATCATTGGACTGAGTAAAACTTTTGGCGCAGTAAGTACAGGAATATGGTCGTTCGCCTGTATGAATCCGCATATGCACATTCAATTTGTACTGCCTGGAGAATGATTTCTCACAATGAGAGCATTTGTAAGGCCGTTCGCCGGTATGAGTGCGTCGATGGGACTGCAGGTCGGACGATCGGGGAAATGCCATATCGCAGAGATCACACTTGAAGGGTTTCTCGCCCGTATGTCGCCTCATGTGGACCGTAAGGTTGGAGTTATTTGAAAATGATACACCGCAAAATGCACATAAGAAGTTTTTGGTTTTGTTGGGTGAGGTTTTCCCTCGTTCTCGAATTTTTGGGGACTCGTCTTGACTGATTGCCTCGTTGTTATGAAATTTCCTGAAATGTGCCTTGTAACGATCTCGTCGATTGTATCGACGATGACACTGCATACACTCAAATATATTTGTTTCGAGACCGGCCTTCGTCGCAGTTTGATCGTCCACTTGTTCTTCACTTTGAATATGTAGAAGGTCAATATGCTGTTCTAGGTTTTCTTGCCACATGAACTTGAATTTGCAAAATCTGCAATGGTATTGCTTGTCCACGTTATTGCATTGAGTGACCGTATGATAGTCTAATAATTTCTGAAATTAGAACCGTTTTAAAGCTGTTGTTATTGGTTATTGTATCTGTACCTGACACGATGTTCTAAATATGCATTTTTCACACTTTAATGGCAAATGTTCGTAGAAGTGCATGGACCGCTGGTGCTGAGCCATTTGATATTTGCGCTCAAAAGACAAATTGCACAATGAGCATAAGTACCGTTGCTCATTACCTTTGCTTTTCTTGTCGGCTTTGTCTTCAGCTTCTGTTTCGGAGTCCAACTCCAAATGCAATTCAAATCCCTTCTGATTTGTTATGGAATAGGTAGACGTCGACGGTTGAACGGTACATATACTAAGCGAAAAATGATCGTTTAGATCAGCCATTGTTTGGAAATCCGAGTCGCAGATTTTACATTTTACTGATTTCTTTCCATTGGGGCAGAGTATGGATGCAATGCTTTCAACGCAGCTAACACTATCGTGTGCCAAGCAATGTTGTTGTAGCAAATGTTCGTTGAGGTGTTCAGCAGTATAGAAGGTTTTAGGGCACAAAAAACAGTAACGTAATTCTGACTCAGTGGGGTGATTCGAAGACAAATGCTGTGTTAGTTCTTTTTGAGTACAGAACTTCGCCTGACATAGCGGGCATGTTTTCATTAAAGTGCGACATATTTCCACCTGAAAATACCAAATTAAAGAACCTGTGTCAAAATGCAAAACACAAACAGAACGATACCTCTTTTGTTGTCTCGTTTGGATGATCCATCGCAATATGAGTCTTCAGGTTTTCTCTCCACATGAAGCGAAGGGGGCAACGTCGACAAGTGTGTCTCTTTTTGGAATTTTTGCATTGCGTTCTATAGTGTAGCTGCAGCATAAGAGATGACAAAAAACGTCCATTGCAGTGAATGCATACATGACGACCATCTTCCCATTTGTGATTATTTAGGTGATGTTCATATACCTTATACTTCCGATCAAAAGTTAGCTGCGGACATATATCGCATGTATAGACACGGTTCGATTTCAAAAATTTTTTTGAATTATGATCATCGCTCCTTTCAGTCTTATCGTCCTCCGAGTCACCACTTTCTGTTTCCGAACTGTCTAGACTTACTTCGTAACCGTGTTCATTTGTTATTGAATAGAAGCGTTCCAAATTACGTTCAGCTATAATATCCCCCGAAATTTTACGGAACAAGTCCTCTTCGCACATTGGGGCTTCTTCGGGATATATGTGCTTTGAAATATGATCGATACTATCGGATTCCTTGCGCTTTTCAAAGTTAATGACGTATAGATGAGATCTTAAATGCGAGCGCAAATCGCGTATGTGAGTATGTTCTGAAAAGCATATCATACAGCGTATGCGTTTGCAACCATGTGGTTTAGCCATGTATGGTAAAATCTGGTCAATAGCCTTATTTGAACTTGTGGTCAGTGGTAGACTGGTAGGATCATGGGTACGTATGTGTGCGAGCAGATTGTCCTTTCTCTGGAACTTTCGATCACAATGAGGGCAGCAAAACTTTTTGCCTTCAGTGTGGGTTTTACGATGGCGGACCAAATCTTTCGGCCATATGAAAACTTTCTCGCAATATTCACACTTCAAAGTACTTGCTCGTTTTGGCCGAGGTTGTTTCTGGTGCTTATGCTGAAATATTAAAGCGTTGTGGATTAGGCAATTAACATGTAAGGTAGGATGATATTATTTTGACATTTACCTTTATTTCCTTGTGCTTAACCAAATTATTCGGCCATATAAATCTAGCATTGCAATACTCACATTGCTGTGCCACACGCCTAAATTCATTCCAGCACTCTCTGAATCTGTGCTGCTGCAGTAAATCATCGCTTACGAACTCCTTAGTACAATCCTTACACGCATGTGGTAGCGGAATACTAACGTGTTGGTCGTTCTGGTGTTTCAATAAATCCTTTCGTTTTCCAAACATTATAAGACATAAATCGCATTTATATATCAACGATGTTGGCTCGCTCCCACTGTCCGAATCCATTATGTCCATTTCCATGCCATCCTTATCCAGGGCTCTATAAAATCGGCTAATTTGCGATTTCTCGAAAGCATTTCGTATTTCCTGTTGTATCAGCGCGCGATCGTGTGTCTTTGATCTTTCAAATCTCTTGAAATAAATGCCATTATGGAAGTCTATGCCGGTTAAACCGTCCGCATGCTGCGTTATATGATCTCGGAGATTTCTTAACTTTTCGAAGGATTGTGGACAGAGGCCACATCTAATAATGGCTTTGTTCGAGCTTTCCTCTTGCCGATGTCTCTCCAAATGTTTTAAGAATTTTGTTTTGACTTCAAACGGTCGATTACAAATGTCACATTTGAAAATTTCTCTATCATCGCTGCTAATCTCTGGTTTGGAAGCGCAATTATGGTTTCTCATGTTTTCCGGCCAGACAAATTTGGCGGGACATCTGGTACACAGGAGCACTTTACTTCTATTTCGACAATGAACACGGGAATGGCGTTCAAACATTTTCGATGATATAAATTCCAATTTACACAAACCACATTTTAATGGCATTTCGTCATTCTCATGCTCCTTCTTTAAATGATTGAAAGCCTCGTGTTGAAAACGGCATTCAATGCCACATACCTCGCATTTGTATTTGGGACTGCCTATCTCCTTGTTCAAATCCTCGGGTTCAGTATCACTTATTGACATTTCATAAGAAAACTCATTTAAAACTGCGTAATATTGGAACCAACGACCCTCCGCAATGTCCTTGCATATTAACTCCTTAACACTACCCAAACTGAATTCATTCGGAAACAAGTGGGTGATAACCTCGCTGTCCATTCGGATGTGCATCAAAGAATCGATTTTGTTGTGTGTTTCCATGTGAGATCTTAATTCTTTCGTTGAACTAAAACGCACGCTGCACAGTTTGCACTCCACCATCAACCAACCTGTGGGCCTACTATATAACCGATCTCCAAACACCCATTCTTTGCGTTTGGCTTTAGGATATGCGGATTTATCACAGTGCATACGCTTGATGTGGTGCCTCACCTTGTCCTTCCGGCTAAAATGCTGACCACAATATTCACAGGGAAAGGTTATTTCCCTTAAGTGAATAGATGCTATGTGGCGACCACAGTCCTTTCGCAAAGAAAATGTCTTTTCACAAATAGTACACGCGAATCTCTCGTTCACCTGCTTTATTTTGTCGAAATAGTCCGGCGCTTGGCGACCAACCCTACGTTTGCTAGATAATGAAACGTCTATGAATCGATCGCTACTTTTTCAAAAATGCATACAAACCTCTGTGTGCTCGTATTAGTATTTTTTGTGGGCTTTTGGTAGTCTTCATCTTCTGTAGACGATTTCTCTGAATTATCATTAATATGTGACATTTCTTCTATGTTCGATGATCTGCGGAATGCGAATTCAGGTGATCGAATACAGTTTTTATACCATGCAAATACAGTACCTGGGTTTGTCAGGATGTACACGCTTCATATGCAATCGTACCTTGTCCTTTCGATTGAATATTTCTGGGCAATATTCACATACAAATATACTTTCCTTCAAGTGTATTGAAGCAATATGTCGTCCACAATCTTTGCGCTGAGAAAATGTCTTATCACACAAAAAGCATCCATAACGATCACCAACATTTTTGATACTTTTAAAATATTCTGGTAGGGGTCTTTTTAGTCGCCTTCTTTTACAAGTATTTTTGCTACAAACATATACGTATAGGACAATATTTAGAACCAGCCGCACATAAGGAGTGTCTGAAGTCAGTCCTTACCTAGAGCCCTCTTCAATTTTTATTCTTTTTGTGGGTTTGTAGTCGTCGTCGGACGAATCGTTTTCAGCATCATCATAATCATCACGCTCTTCGCCAATACAAAGCGCGCTAAAAACAAGAAGCCAACTTTTTAAGCACTTGCAAACAATATTTTTATTAACTATTGGCTCGTACCTGTCTCTTCCAGTCACATATTTTTCATCAGCGCTTTCATAAAACATCTCCTTGATACTGTTCCCATATGAATGTGTAGTGGAATTCGAATTTTCTGTACATTTGTATTCGATAATCCATTATGAAATATCCTTCGTCTAAAATGTATTTCTGCGCTGTGACTTACCGTTCGTATTCACCAATTCATCGGAGACATTCCTGTTCGGTAAAACAATGCCATACTGATCCCCCCCGACTTCTAATTTGACGTCGCTTAGGTAATGATCGACAGGCATATCAATGGCAGACTCCTCCAAACAATCGGCAGCTTGATTGGCGGTGTCGCATTCCAGTAGAGGATCTTTCTGGTCACTAGCCAGTAATTTCAAGTATTTCTCATTTACATGGTGGACGCGAGTTATGAATGCATAAGCATCCTTCAGACTTCTCAAGCAGTCGGAACATATTGTTTTTGGCAATGGATCATCTAAGGTAATCTGGAACGAACATACATACATATGATACATATGTAAAAACAGTTTTGTTTGACCCGCAAATTTTGTACCTGCAAATGGACAACTTCGTTTAATAATTCTAACGAACTTTTAGATTCGGTTCCGATCTCATCGGCCAAATCATAAAGTTTATTTTCTCCAGGATCGAAACATGTCCGGCAAATTTGATTCATGGCTGTTTTTTATATTTTACAGCATCGGCTTCCCAGCAAGTAATTTTTAGTATACACTTTTCAACGACTGAAAAAATTGAAAAACGTTCCACCTGCTAACGAATGGGAGGAGAAGACAAAATGGTCGATAAAGATGAACTCAAAATGGTATAAACGAAAGTTTACGAATGAGGTTTAGGCAAATTATGATTAGGGATGCCTAAATCGACTTTCGACTATTCAACTAATTGTACTGAAAAGTCTAAAAGGTACCGCACAATGATCACCTTACGACCTTGCGTATTTTTTATATCGCGTTAACGCCAGCAAAAAGCTAAAATTTTAAATTACTCCGAAGTGCAACTTCAAGCGTTGATGTTATCGTCTCCTTGTGGTTGTGTATTGTCGGTAAAGGGCCAAGCAGAAAGTTCGCAATGGGCGTTTCTCTTTATCGCGTTAACTCACAAAAAAAGTTTAAAAAATATATAACTCCGAAGCGAAACACACATCAACTTCAAACTTTAAGGGCTAAGCAGAATGCTCGCGTTGAGCCGTCCGTCGTGTTATTTGTTATCGAAAATACAACAACCACAAGGAAACGATATGCGTTCGAGCTATGAAACGCCTAAATACAAAATTTGAGTCCAATCGGAAGAAAAATAAAAATATGCAAAAATCCGAGTTCTAGTAATTACATATCGCTTTGACACATTGAAATTTCCGTATGTTTCACATGACGCGTTTGAGTTTCATATGTAAATGAAGTGACAGCACAAATATAAATAACATATTGTCTTAAAGCACCTTTACCATACAAAATTATTAATTTGTTTGCAATTTGAATATGAAAAAAAAATATATATATACAACAATGGAAATGTTCCTGCAATGCTGTGGTTGTTTGGAAAGTAAAAAATCACTTATAAATACAATAATTCTATAAATAATTTTTGTTTTCCTTTGCTTTTTTGTGTTTGATAACAGTTGAATATAAAAACAAACAATCATGGTACAATTATACAAGGTATATACCTTTTACTCGAGAAATATGGCCAAGTAAAAATGGTAAACAGGAATGCCTCCTTCTGATTGGCTGTTATGTTGATTTTGAAGTAATTTTGGCATATTTATAGATTTTGAAATATTTCTCTTTCACTAGCTTTACTATTAAAAAAGTATTGATTCATAGTGAGAGAGCTATATTTATTCCGTACAGAAACTGGGTTGCGTCAAATTAGTATCATGATTTAAAATAAACTCGCCATAAGATGTTTTCATTTGTAAATATTATATACTTGTGGCCATACAATTAAGTGACCGTTGTATTTTTGAATTTTTTGTTTCGTTAGAAGTCTTTTTTCTTGAGTTTTAAAACGATACCAAAGATAAAAGGAAAATAGAAATTGTTTTTAATTTTTTGTGTTTTTAGGTGCTTTTTTATAAAAGTACAAAATTACTAAATTAACATCAGTTCACAGTCATATAAATAGGTGCATATGTTTCTATTCATATAAATAATATTCTTTCAAATACATTAAAAAATTATTTTATTTTATTCTTTTAAAATTTTTTCAATGTTAATAAATTGGCCAACAATCTTACATATTTTCTTATATGCAACGTTTTCTAATACCTTTGTCAGTTTGGTGTTTGACAAACATTTCTTATATCAGTGTTTTTCTTATACGCGTTTTTCTTATATGAAGCAATGAGATGTAAAAGGGCTCGGTGTTTTTGATAATCTTTTGATATATACTATATATACAAATGTACTTTTACACAGGATTTGAGATCATTTAAAATGACTGAGCAGGTATTTGTCTACACACTCACACTTGGTTACAAAAATAACAAATTCCTATCACGAATTTTAAAATAAAAATAACATTTTAACTCATATTTCTATTTGAAATAATTTAATATCTACTTTTTATTTCTTCAAATACGCTTTTTCGATTTTCTCTTAATTGAAAATCAGCCGAAAAATGCAAATCATTTCAGACGCTCTGTTCACAAATCGATTAACTCCATAAATGGACAAATTGAGAAATGCGATGATGTATGTTGTTTTTAAAATATTTTTGATGATAAGAATTCAACTACACAATGTAGAATGCATAACATAGATAATCTTTATTATTCAGAAAAGTTATTATAAATATAACAAGTGGAGTTAGTTTATGTGCACCGAGCAACTCAAACTATTACTGGATGTTGTTTGTTTATTTATCTCAGTACTAAAAGCATTTACATTACAACTTTTTACCGGGTCAACCTACTCTATGAGAAGTTATTAGACACGTATCCAATGAAATTGACAGTTGTAAAAAACATACATAAATAGATATACACCTAAGTCTGTTTTTACACGGTCTTTTTATACACGGTTTGAAAATTTAAAATTTTTAATTTTTTTTACACGATTTTATTCTATTTAGCACAATTTTAAATTTTATGTACTTAATTTTTTTTATCAAATTTATAGCCTAGACAGACGACAGCCTTAATTTGCATTAACAGCCTTATTTCAAATTAACTTGTACATTATCCTCATTTTTATGTGTTGTTAATAGCCTAGACAGACTACAGCCTTAATTTGCATTAACAGCCTTAATTCAAATTAACTTGTACATTATCCTCATTTTTATGTGCTGTTAATGCACAAAATCAAACTGAATTTATACTGAATTAGGCAATTTCAATATGGCAATGCTGTCGAAAATTAATTGTTTCTTGTCAAATTTATTTATATTTATGAAAATAAAAATATGAAATGAAGGCAAATTTCAACCATTTTTTAAATTGGGAGCTGTTTTGCTAAGATGATAGTCACTATTCCTCCTTTATGTCATGTATATATCTCCTATAGATGTAATCCCGAAAAATATCGAAACAAATGTAAAAAATGTTCATACTACACACAGACAAACGTTTGTTTTGTAGCAAAAAAATGTTTCGTAAATGCAGAAACTCTCGTCTGTCAGGGGTAAATATTAATTCAAATTAAGTATTTTTTAATGCAAATTAAGGCTGTCGTCTGTCTATGGTATAATGCACAAAATCAAACTGAATTTATACTAAATTAAGCAATTTCAATATGGCAATGCTGTAGAAAATAAATTGTTTGTTGTCAAATTTGTTTACGTTTACGAAAATAAAAATTAGAAATAAAGGCAAAATTCAACATTTCTTCAAATTTGGAGCTGTTTTATCTTCATTATAGCTGTTAGTTTTCCTTCCTGCCATGTATCAATTTCAAAAAGATGTAATCCTAAAAAATATTGTAAACAAATGTCAATATTTTCTTCCTACACACAGCCAAACAATAGTTTTGAAACAAAAAACTGGTTCATAAATGCAGAAACTCTCGTCTGTCAGGGGTAAATTTTAATTCAAATTAAGAACTTTTTAATGCAAATTAAGGCTGTCGTCTGTCTACGGTAGTTTTTGCGAAGTATGTTCATATCACAAAAAAGTATTTATGAAAGAAAAAAGTCTGAAACCATCGATAGTATCGATACAACAACCACAATGAAACGATAACACAAACTCATGTCGTTTCCTTGTGGTTGTTGTATTTTCGATAACATATAACGCGACGGATGGTTCAACTCGAGCATTCTGCACTAATTTAGGGGAATTCCCTGTATGTGCATACAAAAAATTTACTGGTCAGAGCAATTGAAACGTGTTAATATTTTGTGAACTGTCAATGCAATAAGACGTGTTTGGTGAAGAATTTTTTTGCAGGCAAATTTTATTTTCCATTAAATTCAATTTTAACGCATTAAGATAAAAGGTAAGCCAAAATATATTTTGTATTTATTTAATTATTTATCTTTTTTAATTTTGTTAAATATTTTATGTATCCCTAAAAGGAAATGTCAGATATAAAACTAAAACGGAAGGCAATTTCTTTGGAAACCAAGATTAAAATTTTAGATCGCCTTCGAAATGGAGAAGGCTCAACTGCTCTTGGTAAAACGTTCGGTTTAACTGAAGCCACAATAAGAACTATAAAGAAAAATGAAATTGCAATTAGGCAATCGGTGATTTCTGGAACGAACCTATCTGTTAAGTCTTCATCATACACTAGAGATGCTGTTAAAGAAAAAATGGAAAAAGCTACGAATTTTCTGCAAGCACAGGTTGGATGAGAGGATTTCTCCATAGGCATGCGCTTCATAACATAAAAATCAAGGGCGAGATTGCTTCTGCATATCAGAAAGCCGCCGAAAAATACCAACTAAAACTTAAAAAAATAATAGCGGATGGTGGATACAGTCCAGATCAGGTTTTTAACGCTGACGAAACCGGTCTTTTTTGGAAAAAATGCCGAGAAGAACATACGTGGCCAAATCGCAAAAAAGTGCTGGGGGTTTTAAAGTTGAACAAGATCGAGTCACATTTTTATTGTGCAGTAACGCTTCTGGAGATCGGATTTTAAAGCCCCTGCTTATCAATCGTGCATGAAAGGTGTCGATTTTGATAAATTGCCGGTTATTTGGATGGCCAATAAAAAAGCATGGGTGACGACTACAGTTTTCACAGACTGGTTCATTAAATATTTTGTGCCAGAAACTAGAAAATATTTGAATGAAAAGTTCTTCTGTTGGTAGACAATGCACCCGGGCATCCTCCGTTGGAACACGAAAATGTACAAGTTTTGTTCCTGCCACCAAATACCACATCCCTAATCCAACCACTGGACCAAGGAATCATCGCAACATTCAAAACTTATTATATCAAACGAACATTCCAGTATATTTTGGACACTTTGGATAGGGATAAAACTCTAACAGTAATTGATGCCTGGAAAAAGTTTTCTATCAAAGATTGCGTTACACATGCTGCTTTAGCATTGTCAGATTTACGACCATCAACCTTAAACGGATGTTGGAGAGCAATTTGCCCAGAATGTGTAAAAAGTAAAAATCCTGTGGAGAAAAATACAAACGGAGATCGGATTTTAAAGCCCCTGCTTATCAATCGTGCATGAAAGGTGTCGATTTTGATAAATTGCCGGTTATTTGGATGGCCAATAAAAAAGCATGGGTGACGACTACAGTTTTCACAGACTGGTTCATTAAATATTTTGTGCCAGAAACTAGAAAATATTTGAATGAAAAGTTCTTCTGTTGGTAGACAATGCACCCGGGCATCATCCGTTGGAACACGAAAATGTACAAGTTTTGTTCCTGCCACCAAATACCACATCCTTAATCCAACCACTGGACCAAGGAATCATCGCAACATTCAAAACTTATTATATCAAACGAACATTCCAGTATATTTTGGACACTTTGGATAGGGATAAAACTCTAACAGTAATTGATGCCTGGAAAAAGTTTTCTATCAAAGATTGCGTTACACATGCTGCTTTAGCATTGTCAGATTTACGACCATCAACCTTAAACGGATGTTGGAGAGCAATTTGCCCAGAATGTGTAAAAAGTAAAAATCCTGTGGAGAAAAATACAAACGGAGATCGGATTTTAAAGCCCCTGCTTATCAATCGTGCATGAAAGGTGTCGATTTTGATAAATTGCCGGTTATTTGGATGGCCAATAAAAAAGCATGGGTGACGACTACAGTTTTCACAGACTGGTTCATTAAATATTTTGTGCCAGAAACTAGAAAATATTTGAATGAAAAGTTCTTCTGTTGGTAGACAATGCACCCGGGCATCATCCGTTGGAACACGAAAATGTACAAGTTTTGTTCCTGCCACCAAATACCACATCCTTAATCCAACCACTGGACCAAGGAATCATCGCAACATTCAAAACTTATTATATCAAACGAACATTCCAGTATATTTTGGACACTTTGGATAGGGATAAAACTCTAACAGTAATTGATGCCTGGAAAAAGTTTTCTATCAAAGATTGCGTTACACATGCTGCTTTAGCATTGTCAGATTTACGACCATCAACCTTAAACGGATGTTGGAGAGCAATTTGCCCAGAATGTGTAAAAAGTAAAAATCCTGTGGAGAAAAATACAAACGAATATCCCAATATAATTGCTTTAGCACACGCAGTTGGTGGGGAGGGTTTTGATGACTTGGTATTTGATGACATTGAGGAACTGATGATTGATAAAGTTCTTAGCGAAGACGAAATATTACATTTTGCCTCACAGAATGCTGATGTTATAGAAAGCAGTGATAGTGAAGAACCTGAAAAATTAACTGAAAATTTAATTCAAGAAGGGCTTCAACTTGCAAAAAAATTAGGATACCATTTCGTCAAAAATGATCCCAATGTCGAAAGAGCTGCACAATTCCAACGTGAGCTGAATTCTTGTATGGCTCGTTACAAGGAATTATACAAAGAGGTAGCAAGAATTGGCGAACAACGGCTCATAACAGAGTTCATTTTTCAAAATGTAGATGCCGAACGAGCAAGAGAAAGTACGGTTCAAAATTAGTCCAACGATGATAGTGAAGCAAGCGAATGCGAATAACTGATGACGACAGCAAATAAATTTATGTTGTTGTATTTATGATTATCACTTATTCTATTTTATTTGTTACCTTAAATATTGAATAACCTATTCTTTTCGTTCACAACACATTTTTTTAGTTCCTGAACTTGCCATACATTTAATTTATATTACTTTTAAGATTAGAGTGCATATTTTGTTATCATTAATTACTATGCTTGTGAAAATAAGCATTATATATTTGATTTAATAAAATAAACATGAATTCTTGTTTTTCACTAATTTTAATAGGTTTTAGAGATTAGGAACCAATCACCCATTTTTGTATAATATCAATGTCTTTTTTTACACGGCCTTTTCTGGAACCAATCTACCGTGTAAAAACAGACTTAGGTGTATGTTTTATTTTTGCGGTGAATAACGTCGAATGAGCTAGTTGACTTTTAAGTAGAGCTGTTCACCTCAAAAGTTCAATAAATGTATTTCAATGATGTGTCTCGGTTATTGTTGCAGTAACATTTACTCAGTAATTTTAAATTAACGGGTGCTAGAAATACATCGAAATTAGCTGGATAAATCTTACTAGGAGAAATTTACCCAGTAACATTCAATAAGTTCTCAGCGTAGAACTGCCAAACTAGCTCCCTCTTTTCGCTCTCTTTTACTGGACTTTGGAGTAGACAGACAACATTCAGTAACATTTGGAAACAATTGTAACCAAATATAGAGTAAAGAGGCGCAGCTAATGTTACCCAAACACGCGTTGCGTATCAAAATATAAAGTTGAACACTACTTTTGAGAGTTTACCCCATAGGAAACCAAGTAAAACTACACCGACTGAAGATAGGTGATTGGTAATGTTGAGTAAGGCCGAACAATTTCCAATATATACAGTAATAAGAGCGCAAATGGACTGTCCGTCGTCGCATGTAAGAAAAAAATTTGGAATCTAATAGATCTGTTTACATTAAATTTTTAAAATTCCACGTTTGAACTGGTTTATCTGTATATTTACATCCGCTGCGGAAGGGTTGAACGCCATCAACAGACATCTCCAATTCATCAAAAGTAGTGACAAGCGTAGCCAAGCAATAATGATAATTTGATGAAATGAAATGATTGCAAGCGCAAATAATCCAGTCCAGCAACAGAGGTCATAGAGATCACATCACAGACGCGGGTTGCCGCCGTCAAAAGCGTTGGTGCCTTTACTGGGCAATTAGGGATTTGATTAGCATTCGCATTTTCATACATATACTACACCGCAAAATAAATGGATTACTAAATGTGGGTAAATTCATACATAAGCAAATAATAGTGTAATGTGAGAAAACTTTTGATATTTGCAAGTGGCAATTAATTGTATGGTTTCTTAATATACAAGACCGTATGGTTCGCAATCCATTTAACATAAGACAACCAATAAACGGTGTGAAGGAACACGACATGTACTGATGGTGTATGTTGTATATCATATCCGGTTTATGTTATTACAAAAGATGGTTTCCGCTTCCAAACGAGGACACATACATAAACAAGATTTTATCCACAAAGTCAATAGCACTGATAATTTTTGGAAACCACAGTTTCTCATATTTTTAATAGTCTGCATATCCATACCGCTTCGATAGCAGGCATTTGTCTTATAAAGACAAATTTTTGTCCACGGACCTAATATATGTAATGCGCAAAAATATTTTCTCAATAAAATATTTATTTTAAACCGCTATGTACGAAGCAACGAAGTGACTTTTATTTTGATAAATTTTCTTCCTGAAAACTGTCGGCAATTCGTATAACTTTCAATTGAAAAAAATGATTTCATTAACATGAACCTAGCCCAAAGGGCTATGAGCGATTCCAACAACTTCAGTACATGGACTACTTCAAAAGCTTAAAATTAACAGTATATCACTTAAACCTATCAATTTATAATCAACAGTACACTAACTACTCTATATCTTCACATTACAGAGAAAGAAATAAAAAAAATGGGAATGCAATTATTCATTTGGATTGGACTTGTTGCAATCATTCGAATCGGCAGTGTTCAAAGTGGACAAGTACGAAGAATATGGATGCAAGACCATTGTCGAGATGGCGTTTGTGGCGATATTTTAATCGATCGTACCGACTACGTGATAATGTCACAGATCGCAGTCGAGAAGCACACCATATTAACCTTTGTAAATTCTAGCATTGCAAAAATTCCGCACCTCATGTTTGATACATTTCCGAATCTTCAAATATTACGGATGGAGAACTGTTCATTGGAAACCTTTGAAAGACCACAATTTGAAGGTGCCAGCAATTTGATGAATTTATTTCTCGGTTACAATCGTTTAAAGGAAATACCGCAAAACATATTTTTGGGAGCAGATAATCTGGAAGTTTTAATGTTAAACAATAATGAATTGCAAACCTTGAACAACAACAGTTTTCAAAGTTTAAAAGAGCTGAAACAGCTCTCCCTTGACAGTAACAAGATCGAATCGTTACCTTCCGGCGTTTTTCTGCCGCTGCAAAAGTTAATGGATATTAATCTAGCTCGGAATCGATTGGTATCGCTTGCAAGAGGTATCTTTGACATGAACGTTAATCTGACACGCATTTCCTTAGCTGGGAATCGCTTCAAATCTTTTAAATCGGAATTATTCCAGTTCCAACGCAGAATCGCATTTTTAGATCTGTCCGATAATGTTTTGCAGGAATTAATATTGGAATTTCCGTCAATAGACATTGTGGCAGCCAATAACTGTGACATCCGGAAACTTATCACCAATGGGATTGTCAGGGAACTTGAACTGCGCAATAATTCTTTAAGGGACATACCACATATTTCAAATGCACCGAATGTCACTGTGTTGGATTTATCTCACAACCCCTTGGGTTCTCTGCAAGGCAATCCCCTTAGGCGATTTACTGAATTGGTACGTTTGAATCTAAGTTCTACTGGTCTACACGACTTGGACGAAAGTGTTTTCAAAAAACAAAGTCGTCTTAAGTCCCTCGACATTTCCTCGAATTCTCTTTTCACGCTGAAAATTACAATGTTCGATCATTTGAAGGAGTTGCAGTACTTTTATTTCCAACAAAATAACTGGAACTGCGATTTTTTGCAATTGATCATGACATCGTTTGTCAAGCGACGCGACATTACTTTCATCGAAGACTCGATTTCGCCAGAATTTGTAGATGATTATATAGATGGTATGGCCTGCTGGTATGAAAACACAAAAAGTTCTAAAAAATGTGATGCCAGCGGAACCAGGCTTACAGATGCCGCGATGGAGTTGGCAATCGTTCGTAACGATATCGACCGCATGATGGAAGCTATGGACAGGAAATTTATTAAACTCTTTCAGATATTGGAAGATATAAAGCTGAGATTATAGAAACCCGACACATATTAGTATATATTTATCTACATACGTACTCCTGTTAGTAATTAGAAAATATGTTTAGATAATGAACAAATGCGTTTTAGGACCATATTAACCGACTTTTGACGTAACTATTCGACTGTTTCATTTCATTGTATTCAAATAAAGTATAGCCCTGCAATTGCCAAAAGCAAGCACGCTCTTTTATTTAATATGAAGGGTAAAATATCAACAATATAACGTATGTAACAAGGTGCATTTAATAAGGTGTAAGTGACAATCATATGGTTTTAAACTTTTTTCTTTATTATTTGTAAAGCAAATTGTCAAAAACATTTTCAATATTACATTTCGATTTCAAAAATGGTCTTTAAATTTAGGCTTTTTTAATAATAATAATTCAAGAAAACTGCATTCACGAGGCGGACGTTCCTTTCCGTCCGCCTAAAGAATGCAGTTTTCTTTCTAGGCTTAAATCAGTTATAACCCCGCTCACCGAATAGTCCACATATTTTTATGTTATGTGTGGAAATCTGTCCATAAATACCTGATACTCATAAAATCGAGGAGATTATGTTAGCCTATGTTGGAATCGGCCCCTTGGATCTTGTGACAATTCTCGGCGAAGGTTAAATACGCCTTTGGAAAGATTTTATACGATCAACACAATTTCCATGATTTAGCCTTTGGCCGGGGATTTATGTCTTTCAATTTTCTTTAAGAAGGCAAGAAAATTAAAAGACACTACTCCATAGAAAAATAGATTATAATTCATCACATCATAAGGAGCCATGGGCTGCATGTGAGAAACTTAAAATTAATCGCGACCAGGTCTTAAACTTTATTTTTCACTGACCTAAAACCGCCAATAACCCAAGAATACACAAATTCATTAATTATTCCTCAAATAATAGTTCTTGACAAAAATAAATTAATAATTGTTTTTGTTTATTTTTGTCAAAAACTTATTGTCAACATGACAATTTAATTTCTATAATAACAATGTTGTTTTTGTAAAATATTTGTTGTTGTATCTGATGCATACACCTTATTAAATACACCTTGGTATGTAATTAGAATTTAATTACACAAGGTACGTATAGTGGGAAATATGATAACTCTTCGCATTTCAATGCGAGCAATGCCATGAGAGCAATGTCTTCCCATCCAATTTTTTTAAATTCATATGCTTATTACTTTGCAAAGAAGTTTCTGCTATGAGACGAAAACTTTCTTCGATAAATTTAAATTCATATAAGAAGTGTCTGCTATGAGACGATAATTCTAGAATATTAAGTGGAAGCCATAAGGCAAGGAGTTGAACACTCCAAAGCGACACTACTTTATTATTTCATACATTATCGCCTTAGTAAATTCCAAATGCAACGAAGATGTTACATTTAAGAGGTGACAAGTTCAGAAGACTACTCTGTATTGCGAAGTGCAAGAAAAATTGTATCGGATGGAGTAATTCGTACTCTCTAATTCGTTTTCGTGTCTCCTTTCGCATCTACTTTACGCAAATGTGGCATCACCGCACTCAGTAATATGAAAACGCAAATGAAGCGAAACATGTAAGTAAGCACAATTAAAGGTTTTATTTATATCTAACTTGTTAATTATTTTAGAGAAATCTTAAAAAGATACAGACTCAGCAACGTCATTTCCAAACTTTAGTAGTTTTTATGGTACAACACAGTGATTTGGCGAAGGGACAATTGCAGAGTTCAAATGCGAAACAACGCGCTAACAATTTGTGGACAAAACTAGCTGATGACCTCAATTCAAATGGACCGCATTTAAGAGAAAAAGTAATGTACACCTAAGTCTGTTTTTACACGGTCTTTTTGTACATGGTTTTGATATAACACGGTTTGAAAATTTAATATTTTTAATTTTTTTTAGACGATTTTATTCCATTTAGCGCGATTTGAAATTTCATGTACTTAATTTTTTTTTTGTCAAATTTAATTTTTGAGAAGTATGTTCATATCACAAAAAAGTATTTATGAAAGAAAAAAGTCTGAAACCATCGATAGTTTGCGAACACTAGCTTAAAGATTTAAGAGAACCCCACCCATTCTCGATTTTAATTTTTCAAAATTTTCAATGGGCTGGTAAATCAATACCAATGCTTGTTAAGGTTTGTAACTTTGCACATATATATTTGAAGATTTAAGAATGAAGAAAAATAATTTACAAAAAATTGTTGTTATTGTTTTGTTGTTGTTTTTTGTAATTAAAGAAAAGTCCTTATTTTTTATGGCGGGCATGATAACTCCTCACTGGATCATCGGAATCCGAAAATTCCAAGGGTGTTAGAAAGAGTACATGTCTGGCTCTCGTATGAACTAGGATTATTGACATCGCTCTAAAATTAACAAAATGGCGGACATTTAAATAAATATTTTTGAAAAATCGACGAATTTTGACCAAAAGCCAAGTTAAAAAATAAGGAAGATCTTCACCGATTGGCTTTATCCTAGTTCATACGATAGCTATACACTAACAGAGAAACGTGTAAAAATTTAAAATCATATAATTCTTAAAATAACTCGACAGTTACATATTACGAGATGCCGATTTGAGGTCACCAAGCAATGAATAGGATTTGTTGAACCAACGGAATTTAACAAATTTCCTATTTGTATTAAGAATAGAAGTAACATTTATACATTTAAATATAAATTAAAGAAGTACATATATATATATATATATAATCCCTACACTGTTAAGTAATGTAAATTTGTATATAACTGATATGTAGTTTATAGTTGTCAGGTTTTGCCCCTCTAATGCCTGAAGGCCTTGGTGCTTTTTATTACAATAAAGCAAAAAATTTGAATGTGAAAAAAATTTTTGTTTACGTTTACGGGTGAAACCATTTCGCCTCTTACACGAACTGTTAATTGGACCATGGTTTTGACAATAGATTAGGTGCAGTGTTGTACTTTTAAAGAAATTCGCCTTTTGGATGACCTGATATTTGCGCCACATTCATTCCTTTTTGTGTTCATACACTGGCCGAAAAATGGGGATATTTTTGGAAAACATTAGTTCGGAATAAATCGAAATTTGTGGTGGGAGAGCAAAACAAATACATCTTTATATGTGAAATGTCATCAAGCATAGTGTTAGCATTGAATATATAATTATTTTCTTCCTTACAATTTGAAATTAACATTTTTACAACAATTCTCACGGTTTAATGACATAGAAACATTAATTTTTGAAAAAAATTTTATTTCAAACAAATACAATCTCAAAACTTTAATATATGTATTAGTATGATCTAAAGGTATGTATGTACATATGTTTTTATGCAAATATGATCCAATGTGATCTGTTCCTGTTCAATATTCAAAACAAATGCAGAAAAATAGTAATCCCCATATATTGAAATTGCAACGACGCAAATCGAACTTTCTGGTTTTTGAAAAGCGACGCAACTCGAAACAACGCAAGTCGGTAATTTTTTTTCTTAGTGTCATCTATTTTCATTTTCAAAATCTGGTCGCCTTAGAAAAAGACAAAAAATAAAATATTTTCAAATTCAGATATAATTAAAATTTTACATTACAGCATTCGGGAGTAAATAATAGTACGTTTACATTGTACCGGATTACGTTAACCCAGTGGGTTTCAATTGTCAATGCCATTTTATATATGTCAAATAAATCCTCATAGAGTAGGTTAATTAAATCGAACCCATATTTTATTAATACAATGTCTGTCATTAAAGACCAATATCACGGAGATCCATCCGATTTCCACTTATGATGTTGGTAGAGTCGGATTAGTCGGATGGTCTCTGTTGGAAGATGTACGTGCAAAAATACGCTGAGAACGGAAAAAAATTGTATCGGTACAACTCAATACAACAAAAAAAAGTTTGTCACGAATAAAAAACATAATTTTTATTAGAAACATTAATAGCAAGAGAAAATTTGTTATTTGTATTATTTATTTTTATGTATTTGTACAGGCGTTTTCTTTGTCAATTTTAATACTTAAGGATACAAAATCAAAATAAACTTCACCAAAATTCACGCTGTTTGTAAACAAATTGTTTTGTTTGCATACAAATTATTTCAATGCAGCTGATGTTACTGGAAAATCTTTACTGGGTAAATTATCCAGTAACAATTTGTCATTTTTTGGAAAAACCATCACATTTATCATGGTACAATTATAAAAGGTAACAACAAATCCCAAAGAAGTGGAAGCTATAGAAATATAAATTTGATAGATTTTCATTCATGTTTTTCAAATTTTATTTTGAGCATTCGAAAATATTTCATTTTCAAAATAAATATAATTTGTTTGTTTGTTTACATTTTTCTGTCAAATTACGTTGACACTAGTATAACTTACAACCACAAATTTCCATGTGATTGTTGTATCCTTTATTGTACAACAACACTTGCTGTTACCTTCTATTATTATACCATGCACATTTATTATGATTATCTTCAAAATACTAATAACTTTCACCAGTTACTGCTTAATTGAATGCAATTTCATGTTAATGTTATATAACATTTTTCCAATATAAATTAATTTTACGAAAATATGAACTTCGGACTTTAACCTCATGTCATTGGTAAACCGTGACCTTGATATTTACTCCTTTAATCCCTAAACTGATGTCCACTATCACATTTTTTATCTAATTATATTGATTAGGGCAACCCTACAACGACGTTCTCTTCAGTTGTTTTATGTTTTCATTAAAGCCGGACGCGGGTAGTTCTTGCCGGGGGTTTCGCGAGTCGTGTTTTCTTGAATTTCGGTAATAATTTAATGATCCATCATCTGTAAATTCAGTGAATCCAATAATGTTATTTAAACTGTTCATTTAATCACTTTTTAGTTTTGTGCGTAGTTTTTATTTGCAAGTTGCCCATCTATGTTCTGTGTTCGATTCTTCTTTGTGCCCATATGCCATTATCAATGTTTGAAACCCCCTTGTACACCACAGTTGTTGGGAAAGTGAAAAGTTTTTCATTTGA